GAGTTTTTGCACTGTATAGACTGTGGGGCATTGCTTAAGCGAAAGTCGCTGTGGAGGCATGTGGCCAGGTGCCGGCTTTCACAGAAAGATGCCCAGGCTAAACCAGGTAGAAGTAGGGTCCAGTCCCTCTGCTCCCTAGCCCAGCCTGTACCGGAGGGCATCAGCAAAAAGCTGTGGTCTTTAATTTCGGCAATGCATCAGGATGAGGTCACGGGTGTTGTCAAAGCAGAAAAGGGGATTCTGAGACTCGGAGAGCACCTGTACTTAAAACACGGGCATGATAAGACAAAGCATGATTACATTAGGCAGAAAATGAGAGAAGTCGGTAGGTTAATTAACGAAGCAAAAACCGCAGGGAAACTGAAAACAATTAAGGATTTCTTTATTCCTTCCAACTTTAACCATGTGATTGATGCAGTCAGGTCTGTGGCTGGATATGATGAGGAAACAAATCAATACAAGACTCCATCCTTGGCCCTCAAACTCGGCCATAGCCTCAGAAAGCTAGCAGATATTCTTGAATGTGACTCAAAAATGGAGCATTGTGTTGATGAACTATTTATTAAAAACCTCCAACGAAGCCGGCTGCTTTTTGAGAAGAGGTGGGACGTCTGTGTTTCTTCTGCTGCCCTACAGACCCTCCGGCAAGCCAAGTGGAACACTCCGGACCTGCTCCCTCTGACTGAGGACGTTAGAGCCATGCATGCACATATTGAGGTATGTCGACCTGAATATGTGCAAACCCTAATAAGTGAGCCAACGTCTAAGCATTGGTCTAAACTGGCAGTTTTGACTCTTTGTGAGGTCATCATTTTCAATCGAAGAAGGGAAGGTGAGGTTTCAAAGATGCCACTGACAGCCTTTACCTTAAGAAGTAAGACTGGGATCCATTCTGACATTGCTCTGGGACTGTCCCAACTTGAGAAAAAGCTGTGTCAGCATTTTCAACGCATTGAAATTAAAGGGAAAAGAAGTCGGAAAGTGCCGGTTCTTTTGACTCCTGAAATGATTGCTTCGATGGAGGTGCTGGTGGAGAACAGAAGGGCCTGTTCCATCTCTGACCATAACCCATACTTCTTTTCCCGCCCGGGCGCAGACACCCACATCAGGGGATCAGACTCCCTACGCCAGGTAGCCAAAGAATGTGGTGCGGTGCATCCAGAGATGCTATCCTCAACCAAACTTAGAAAGCACATAGCTACTATGTCTACAGTTCTCAATATGAAAGAGAATGAGATGGACATACTTGCCAACTTCCTCGGCCATGACATTCGCATCCACAGGCAATATTACAGACTACCAGAGGGGACACTGGAGCTGGCCAAAATCAGCAAAGTGTTGATGGCCATGGAGCAGGGAAGAGTGACGGAATTCGAAGGAAAGAGCCTCGACCAGATACAAATTGAGCCTGAAGGTAATTCTTGATATTATTAAAATATGTATGATTTTTTTCCCCTAAAGGCCACTTGTATTTTTATTTTCTGTGCAACAGGGAGAGCAGTAGAGATCCTCTCACAAACGGACGGGCTAAAAGAAACTTCAAGCGGAGAACCTTCAACCATTCATCCAGATGCACCCCATGTTAGTGGCAGTGCCCCTTCTGGTAAGTGTACCAGGTGGGGGATTACAGCCAGGCTGCTTGGTCCTCACCCTGGGAGTGTATATTGCTAATATATTTTTATTTCTCTCCCTAGAACGTGTAAGAAAGCCATGGTCTGCATCTGAGGTGAAGGCTGTGGAGAAGACCATGACACCTTTCATACAGACTGGAAAGGTCCCTGGGAAGTCTCACTGCCTGGCCTGCATTAATGCCTCACCAGATGACCTTAGACATCGGACATGGAGTGGCATTAAATTCTATGTCAAAAATAGAATCACTGCAATTCGAAAACAAAATCTAAAATAAAATTCCTTTAAAATAGTTGTTTGGTTTCTATTGACTGTTTTGTATTACTTAAAGTCTTGGTAAAAAAAGATTATGTCTATGGGTCCCATTCTGAACGGCCCTGTCAAAGGGACCCACCAGGTAACAAAAACGTGTATGTGTGTGTGTGTGTGTGTGTGTGTGTGTTCTTCTTTGCCTCTGTATTGAATGTGTTGTATTATCTGGATTGACCAGTGGAGGTGGCTCTCTCTGGTCTCTCTCTGGTCTCTCTCTGGTGTCTCTCTGGTCTCTCTCTGGTCCCCCCCTGTCTCTCTCTGGTCTCTCTCTGGTCTCTCTCTGGTCTCTCTCTGGTCTCTCTCTGGTTTCTCTCTGGTCTCTCTCTGGTCTCTCTGGTCTCTCTCTGGTCCCCCCCTGTCTTTCTCTGGTCTCTCTCTGGTCTCTCTGGTCACTCTCTGGTCTCTCTGGTCTCTCTCTGGTGTCTCTCTGGTGTCTCTCTGGTCTCTCTCTGGTGTCTCTCTGGTCTCTCTCTGGTCTCTCTCTGGTGTCTCTCTGGTGTCTCTCTGGTGTCTCTCTGGTCTCTCTCTGGTGTCTCTCTGGTCTCTCTCTGGTCTCTCTCTGGTCTCCCACTTGTGCTTCTGCTCTATGACATGTGACATCACAGGGTGTGTGTGTTCTGTCGCACACAGGCGTCCTGCTGTCTGTTGTTCAGCGGTGTGTGTGTGTGTGTGTGTGTGTGTGTGTGTGTGTGTGTGTGTGTGTGTGTGTGTGTGTGTGTGTGTGTGTGTGTGTGTGTGTGTGTGTGTGTGTGTGTGTGTGTGTGTATATACAGTGGGGCAAAAAAGTATTTAGTCAGCCTCCGATTGTGCAAGTTCTCCCACATAAAATAATGACAGAGGTCTGTAATGTTCATCACTTCCACTGTGAGAGACAGAATGTGAAAAGAAATCCAGGAATTCACATTGTAGGATTTTTAAAGAATTTATTTGTAAATTATGGTGGAAAATAAGTATTTGGTCAATAACAAAAACTCAACTCAATACTTGGTAATATAACCTTTGTTGGCAATAACAGGTCAAACGATTACTAAAGGTCTTTACCAGGTTTCCACACACAGTAGCTGGTATTTTGGCCCATTCCTCCATGCAGATCTTCTCGAGAGCAGTGAACACGGACTTTCAACTCCCTCCACAGATTTTCAATGGGGTTGAGGTCTGGAGACTGGCGAGGCCACTCCAGGACTTTCAAATGCTTCTTACGGTGTGTTTGGGATCATTGTCATGCTGGAAGACCCAGCCACGTTTCAGCTTCAAAGCTCTCACTGATGGAAGGAGGTTTTGGCTCAAAATCTCATGATACATGGCCCCATTCATTCTTTCCTTAACACGGATCAGTCGTCCTGTCCCTTTAGCAGAAAAACAGCCCCAAAGCATGATGTTTCCACCCCCATGCTTCACAGTAGGTTTGGTGTTCTTGGGATGTAACTCAGTATTCTTCTTTCTCCAAACACGACAAGTTGAGTTTATACCAAACAGTTGTACTTTGGTTTCATCTGACCTCATGACATTCTCCCAATCCTCTGCTGTATCATCCATGTGCTCTCTGGCAAACTTCAGACGGGCCTGGACATGCACTGGCTTCAGCAGGGGGACACGTCTGGCACTGCAGGATCTGATTCCCTGTTGTCGTATGTGTGTTACTGATGGTAACCTTTGTTACTCTGGTCCCAGCTCTCTGCAGGTCATTCACCAGGTCGCCCCGTGTGGTTCTGGGATTTTTGATCACCGTTCTCATGATCATTTTGACCCCACGGGATGAGATCTTGCGTGGAGCCCCAGATCGAGGGAGATTATCAGTGGTTGAAATATCCTTGTGGGCTACATTTGGGCTCTTCTTTTATACAGATGAGTTCAAACAGGTGCCTAAGAGCTTCTTAAAGAAGTTACAGGTCTGAGAGAGCCACAGATCTTCCTTGTTTGAACTGACCAAATACTTATTTTCCACCATCATTTACAAATAAATTCTTTAAAAATCCTACAATGTGAATTCCTGGATTTGTTTTCACATTCTGTCTCTCACAGTTGAAGTGAACCTATGATGAACATTACAGACCTCTGTCATTAGTTTAAGTGGGAGAACTTCCACAATCGGAGGCTGACTAAATACTTTATTGCCCCACTGTATGTGTGTGGTGTTTGTGTATGTGTCTGTGTATATATGTGTGTGTGTGTGTGTGTGTGGTGTTTGTGTATGTGTCTGTGTATATATGTGTGTGTGTGTGTGTGTGTGGTGTTTGTGTGTGTGTCTGTGTATATATGTGTGCGTGTGTAATTGTGTGTTTGAGTGTGTGTGTGTTTCCTGTCTCCTTGATTCTTTCCTGAAAACTGTGAGAATCTGAGAATAAACTTTAAACTTCAGCAGGAGTTTACTTTCACCAGACTCAGGAAACAGCAGTGACTGAACGCTGCCACCTGCTGGTCAACGTGAGAACTGACACTGGAAAATATAACACAAGTTTATTTGTATCGCAAAGTTCATACTCAAGACAAATCATAAATAATCACTTCCAAAAAAATAAAGAAGAATCCTTCAGTTGTTGGATTCTGAAGAAGTCTGTCTCACATTTTCAGGAAGACTCGGGACAAATAAACGGGCTCTTCTTAACCTACGCAGACACGGGGAGAACATGCAATCTCCACACACAGAGGTCCTGGAGGTGGATTCGAACCCAGGGCATTCTTGTGTGTTCCTGCTGCCTGTGTGTTTATGTGAACAGCAGAATGTTTTTTGTTGTTTTTTTTTTGATCAAGTATTTATTGTGAAGCAGAAAATAATTGCGCAAACATTTTACATTTTTTGTCCCCTCCCTCCCATCCCAACACACACACACACACACACACGCACACACAGACACAGACACACACAGACACACACACACGCACACACACACACACACACACACACACAGCCCCCCTAGGCCCCCCACCCCCATTCTCCAGGTATCAATAACATTTCATTACTTACTAATAATGAATATTACTTACACACTGTGTGTGTTTGACGTCACTGCTGCTGACGGGACATTTCTCTGACTAAAACATACGTGTCTGTTTTACAGATTACGTCGAAGAACTGAGATTCTACCTGATCCACATGACAGAGGTGAGACCCAAAGATGCTAATGCTAGTGCAGAGCTGCTAATGCTAGTACAGAGCTGCTAATGCTAGTGCAGAGCTGCTAATGCTAGTGCAGAGCTGCTAATGCTAGTGCAGAGCTGCTAATGCTAGTGCAGAGCTGCTAATGCTAGTGCAGAGCTGCTAATGCTAGTGCAGAGCTGCTAATGCTAGTGCAGAGCTGCTAATGCTAGTGCAGAGCTGCTAATGCTAGTACAGAGCTGCTAATGCTAGTGCAGAGCTGCTAATGCTAGTACAGTGCTGCTAATGCTAGTGCAGAGCTGCTAATGCTAGTACAGTGCTGCTAATGCTAGTACAGAGCTGCTAATGCTAGTGCAAAGCTGCTAATGCTAGTGCAGAGCTGCTAATGCTAGTGCAGAGCTGCTAATGCTAGTGCAGAGCTGCTAATGCTAGTGCAGAGCTGCTAATGCTAGTGCAGAGCTGCTAATGCTAGTACAGAGCTGCTAATGCTAGTGCAGAGCTGCTAATGCTAGTGCAGAGCTGCTAATGCTAGTGCAGAGCTGCTAATGCTAGTGCAGAGCTGCTAATGCTAGTACAGTGCTGCTAATGCTAGTACAGAGCTGCTAATGCTAGTGCAAAGCTGCTAATGCTAGTGCAGAGCTGCTAATGCTAGTGCAGAGCTGCTAATGCTAGTACAGAGCTGCTAATGCTAGTGCAGAGCTGCTAATGCTAGTGCAGAGCTGCTAATGCTAGTGCAGAGCTGCTAATGCTAGTGCAGAGCTGCTAATGCTAGTACAGTGCTGCTAATGCTAGTACAGAGCTGCTAATGCTAGTGCAAAGCTGCTAATGCTAGTGCAGAGCTGCTAATGCTAGTGCAGAGCTGCTAATTAGTGCAGAGCTGCTAATGCTAGTGCAGAGCTGCTAATGCTAGTACAGTGCTGCTAATGCTAGTACAGAGCTGCTAATGCTAGTGCAAAGCTGCTAATGCTAGTGCAGAGCTGCTAATGCTAGTGCAGAGCTGCTAATGCTAGTGCAGAGCTGCTAATGCTAGTGCAGAGCTGCTAATGCTAGTGCAGAGCTGCTAATGCTAGTGCAGAGCTGCTAATGCTAGTGCAGAGCTGCTAATGCTAGTACAGTGCTGCTAATGCTAGTGCAGAGCTGCTAATGCTAGTGCAGAGCTGCTAATGCTAGTGCAGAGCTGCTAATGCTAGTGCAGAGCTGCTAATGCTAGTGCAGAGCTGCTAATGCTAGTACAGAATGGTAATGCTAGTGCAGAGCTGTAAGTTCAGATCTGACCAAAGAATGAGGCCTGTATTTTCTTTTTTTACGGTGTCAGTAAAAGATCAGATTGACGTCATTGATCTCAGATAAAAACACGTATGATCGTCTGAACGTGACAAAGGTACGACTCTCTGCTGCTGCGGACTCTCAGAGGAAATACAAATGGAAGGAAAAAGGCAGAGGGACAATTGGCTGAAATGAAATTAGTGCGAGACGTTAGGATCCAGATCTGTCCTGATGATGTGGTCTCTGTCCCCGAGGTCTCAGCTCCTCTCGAGTCCCCGAGGTCTCAGCTCCTCTCGAGTCCCCGAGGTCTCAGCTCCTCTCGAGTCCCCGAGGTCTCAGCTCCTCTCGAGTCCCCGAGGTCTCAGCTCCTCTCGAGTCCCCGAGGTCTCAGCTCCTCTCGAGTCCCCGAGGTCTCAGCTCCTCTCGAGTCCCCGAGGTCTCAGCTCCTCTCGAGTCCCCGAGGTCTCAGCTCCTCTCGAGTCCCCGAGGTCTCAGCTCCTCTCGAGTCCCCGAGGTCTCAGCTCCTCTCGAGTCCCCGAGGTCTCAGCTCCTCTCGAGTCCCCGAGGTCTCAGCTCCTCTCGAGTCCCCGAGGTCTCAGCTCCTCTCGAGTCCCCGAGGTCTCAGCTCCTCTCGAGTCCCCGAGGTCTCAGCTCCTCTCGAGTCCCCGAGGTCTCTCAGCTCCTCTCGAGTCCCCGAGGTCTCAGCTCCTCTCGAGTCCCCGAGGTCTCAGCTCCTCTCGAGTCCCCGAGGTCTCAGCTCCTCTCGAGTCCCCGAGGTCTCAGCTCCTCTCGAGTCCCCGAGGTCTCAGCTCCTCTCGAGTCCCCGAGGTCTCAGCTCCTCTCGAGTCCCGGCGATCCAAGATGGCTGTATTCAAATGAATGGTTTGTGCGCAGTGGCGCATTGTGCCGGCACGGTCGTGGAAAGATTAGTGGAACTTTCAAAGATCTATGGGAAACTCGCCTGTATTTGGGCATCGTGTGGTCCTCCTGGTTCTGCACAGTGGACGAGCTCCCATGATGCTTTGCTCCAAGTGCATGTGTGTGGCTCTCATGCACGTGCACAGAGGGGCAGAGGGGCACAGAGAGACCAGAGAGAGACCAGAGAGAGACCAGAGAGAGACCAGAGAGAGAGACCAGAGAGAGACCAGAGAGAGACCAGAGAGAGACCAGAGAGAGACCAGAGAGAGACCAGAGAGAGAGACCAGAGAGAGACCAGAGAGAGAGAGAGAGACCAGAGAGAGACCAGAGAGAGACCAGAGAGAGACCAGAGAGAGACCAGAGAGAGACCAGAGAGAGACCAGAGAGAGAGACCAGAGAGAGACCAGAGAGAGACCAGAGAGAGACCAGAGAGAGACCAGAGAGAGACCAGAGAGAGACCAGAGAGAGACCAGAGAGAGACCAGAGAGAGAGACCAGAGAGAGAGACCAGAGAGAGAGACCAGAGAGAGACCAGAGAGAGACCAGAGAGAGACCAGAGAGAGACCGGAGAGAGACCGGAGAGAGACCGGAGAGAGACCAGAGAGAGACCAGAAGACCAGAGAGAGACCAGAGAGAGACCAGAGAGAGACCAGAGAGAGACCAGAGAGAGACCAGAGAGAGACCAGAGAGAGACCAGAGAGAGACCAGAGAGAGACCAGAGAGAGACCAGAGAGAGACCAGAGAGAGACCAGAGAGAGAGACCAGAGAGAGACCAGAGAGAGAGACCAGAGAGAGACCAGAGAGAGAGACCAGAGAGAGACCAGAGAGAGACCAGAGAGAGACCAGAGAGAGACCAGAGAGAGACCAGAGAGAGAGACCAGAGAGAGACCAGAGAGAGACCAGAGAGAGACCAGAGAGAGACCAGAGAGAGAGACCAGAGAGAGACCAGAGAGAGACCAGAGAGAGACCAGAGAGAGACCAGAGAGAGACCAGAGAGAGACCAGAGAGAGAGACCAGAGAGAGACCAGAGAGAGAGACCAGAGAGAGACCAGAGGGAGACCAGAGAGAGAGGCCAGAGAGAGACCAGAGAGAGACCAGAGAGAGACCAGAGAGAGAGACCAGAGAGAGACCAGAGAGAGGCCAGAGAGAGACCAGAGAGAGACCAGAGAGAGACCAGAGAGAGACCAGAGAGAGACCAGAGAGAGAGACCAGAGGGAGACCAGAGAGAGACCAGAGAGAGACCAGAGAGAGACCAGAGAGAGACCAGAGAGAGACCAGAGAGAGACCAGAGAGAGAGACCAGAGGGAGACCAGAGGGAGAGACCAGAGAGAGAGGCCAGAGAGAGGCCAGAGAGAGACCAGAGAGAGACCAGAGAGAGACCAGAGAGAGAGACCAGAGGGAGAGACCAGAGGGAGACCAGAGAGAGACCAGAGAGAGACCAGAGAGAGACCAGAGAGAGACCAGAGAGAGAGACCAGAGAGAGAGGCCAGAGAGAGACCAGAGAGAGACCAGAGAGAGACCAGAGAGAGACCAGAGGGAGACCAGAGGGAGACCAGAGGGAGACCAGAGAGAGACCAGAGAGAGACCAGAGAGAGACCAGAGAGAGACCAGAGAGAGACCAGAGGGAGACCAGAGGGAGACCAGAGGGAGACCAGAGGGAGACCAGAGAGAGACCAGAGAGAGAGACCAGAGGGTGAAGCCAAATAATTCCCTTTGGCTGGCGTGTCCACAATTTGATACAGAAATCAGACAAAAAGATTCTCAAAGGTTAACATCTGCATTTAATTATCTTTACAATCAGATACAGAAATCAACAAAAGAGTGCTCCTAAAACTAATATGTCCCTCTCCTGGCCCTCGGCTGATCCTTCTGTTTCTCCCCAAGCCAGAGCATATATAAAGAACAGGAAGGAGGGGAGTGTCCTATCAGCCAGCTTCCGGTCTAGGGTCCAGCCTTTTCCTCCGTCTGCCAGACTCCTGATGGAGTGAGGTTGAAAAGTGCAGAAGTCAGCAGGCCAAGACTAGGGGGGTGAAATCCAAACAGGAGAATCAAGAAGACACCTAAAATAAAATAAGAAGGACTGGCCTCCCACTTAGAGGTTAGCTAGGTCATAAAACACATGGTTTTAGAATGTCACGTATTTATAAATACAACAGTTTCCCTCTTTTGACCTGATTAAAAATTAGGTCACAATCCACATCGTCGTTTATCATCAATCCTTGTGCTTAGTTCCGGCTCGATATCTGTGAAGAGTTAATACAGAGAAAACAAACAACACACAACCACATTCGAAACATTCCTTCACTAAACTCTTTGATGACCACTGCTGTCATTCTGATTCTTCTTCAACCTCGTCTGTAATGTATGCACTAAAACTATTCACTATAGTTTAAACTATTCTAATCTATTTACAAATATGTTTGCTTATTTTGCTTTTATTGAGCCCTATTCTTAAACATATGTTTTTATCTAATAAATCTATCTATACTGGTGGTTTGCTTTCCTTATCAGTGGCTCTGTGCCATTTCGTGGGGCTTTGCTCATTTTTCCAAATACATTTTGTTGAACCAGGAAGTGCTGTCACTTCCTTCTCTCAAACCGTTTGGGATAAATGTACATCGTTAATCAAATTGGTATTATCCGTACAGGAGCTAATCTATTTTAGCAGGTTTCTCTGGGGTCAGTCCCTATACAACGGTATTTTGATTCTCTAATCTGTTGCTGACAAATCGACAGCTCTTAAAATTCTCAAAACTACCTAAACATCTACTTTTGTGCTATACCCAAATTCACCAAAATGCTTTTAAATGTTTTTGAATCTCTGTTGGTTCTAATCTATCTCATTAATCTAAGCTACATTAATCTAGGCTACACTCATGAACTTTATCTACTTTTGAAGTAACTACTTTTGGACATAATATGAAGGAAATGGTCTTTTTACCGTTTGATATTAACCCTGTCTAAAAATAATCTCTATTTTTTGAAAGCATCTATCTATTTTACACTCTATTGTGACTCCAAATCTTGGTTGTAGTTTGAGCCAAAGCATATTCCCAATTTTTGAGTTCTGATTGTAACAATTGCATTGGCAATAGACGATTTTTCATTGGCTGGTTCTTGTTCTGCAAATCACTATTCTCTATAAACACATCTGCACTAGTTCCTACAGATGTGGAAAACAGAAACATCTAAAATCTGACTCCATTTGATTCCTTTTTACTTTAGTTATTAGAACAATTTGACCTTATTGATACTTATTTCCACAATAGAACTATTTTGATTATTCACTAGTCTAACTATTATTACTATTGTTTATTCTGACACCTCTTCCTAGCGACTTTTCAACCTATAGCTCCTCGAATCCAATGACATTATAGCTCCAGACTATTTCATTCTATTCTATTATTATCTTAAAGAGTAGATCTGTTTGATGTTATAAGCGCTATTATTTCTCCTTTTGAATTTGCACAACACTAAATTTAGAATGACCCCCTATGGGACAAATATAGAATTTTATTTCATTTTGACAACTCCGAAAATTACTTAATAATTTTCCCATTTTGCTTTTTTAGGCTGCCCTTTCTATTATTTATTTGTTCTTGTAAATATATGTTTTACACTTCTTTCTAATGATTTAGAAGGTTAAGGACCATGACCACCTATGACAATAACATTACCATACTCCCTCTGTTGGTCGTGGTCCAAAGTATAAAACATGCATCTGTGTGTGTGTAGATTACTGTTCCAATCCTCTCCAGTTGTTCCTCTCGGATCGTCCTCAATTCATATTGTGGGCTTTGGTGCCAAAGTAGAGGCTCATTTCCTCATGATCCATACTACTGTCATCCCTGAAGCAGGGGTAGTTTATCTCTCATCTGAAAAACAAACATTAGAACACAAGAAATGCCCACTTCCCTCTCTTCGCATTGTGCAGCCTGTCAATCAATCCAATTGGGCAAAACATAACTGCATTGACAGACGGTGTGTGGCATCAGGGCAGAGGCTGTAGCCAAATACAGACTTAACAATATGTATGTTTCTAATTTTATACTCCCCTAAATGTGAATTACAAACCAAAGTTGTCCTTCAACCCACGACAGCTCACTGCGGTTGGACCGAATCACTGTCAGGACAAACAGCAGAGGGAGGGACTCCCAGTACCTTCAGCAAGGTATTTCATCTCAGAGTACTTTCCGCAGAGTACTTTTCTCAGAGTACTCATCCCAGAGTACTCTCACTTTTACACCTGTTCAATAAAGCTTGTTATCTTTGAATCTCTAGTACTTACACCGTATGCTGTTGACAAAAAATAATTATTCCATGATCACATTAAAACATTACAGAAAACTTTTGTTATTCCATTCTCCGTTCAGCACTCCTCGTTCACTCCTCATTTCACAACACACTCACATCACACTCGCATCACACTCGCATCACTCACACAGGCCGACTCCCCAGTTAGTATTTTGGTCCAGAGTTTGTTAAGGTCAACGTAGTGTACTTGACATGACGCACAAACATATAACATACACAAACATATAACATACACAAACATATAACACAGAAGGCCTGTAATTTTAACTTTGTTATATTTTTCCATGTCCAATTACAATTGTCTCATGAGCTATTTCTATTGTTGCAACTTTCAGAGCCTGCAAAACATGCAGAGCTTTAAGAGATTTTTCCTAAAAGGATCCATTTCAAACTTTAGTGTTTAAACCACGTGGTCTTTACTCGGGCTTGTCACAAACTGTGTCCCCTATATTTTTAATGAGCTCTTGTTACTTAAAAAAAAACTCGTGCACGTGCAATAAATGTTTTTCCCTTTTTTTTTTAAAAGCCAGTTCGGATTCCTTAAAAATGTAAATTAGTTTCAAACTTTAATACTTCACCTTTGTTTCACGTTCATGTGGAGAAAAGACCATTGTTTTATGTGTGTGTACTTGCACCAATCATGTCTCAGATGAACTGTCAACAGTTGTATTAAAGACATAATTGTCCTAATTGTTTCTAATTTAGCTATTTGGAAGAGAAACATGTCATAAAAGATTTCAAAAAATGTCCCTACATCCGTGTTTTCAACCAATGAACAGTGTTGCGTCTATGTGTTATCAGAAATGATCCAATATCACCTTTAGCCAAAATTCAGAAATGCTTTAAATCATTTTTCAAACTTTAATTGTCTGAACAAACCATTTTGTACTAAATGCAGCGTCCATTAAAAGCTGCAGTTCTCTTTCTAGCACCAGTTTCAACTGTGCATGTGATTGTTTTAAATGAGAAACGAGCCACGGTTCAGAGGTTGAAAACACTGCTTTAAATATCCGTATTACCAAGATCATGCAGTCAAAATCAATAATTCTAAACTTCTCCGCGTCTATAACTTTAAATAATACTAGTTTCAATAATAGAGCTCCTCTACTTTAAATATACTGCTGTTCTAATCTCCTTGTGTCTCATGCTAAAGCAAGAGTCTAATTAATTTTAACGATTGTCCTGTATTCTTTTCATGCAGCTAAATGTGGTGTTATGAACGAATGACCTAGCTAAATGTGTAAATATGACTTAATATGTCTCTGTGCGTTTGTTGCCTGTCTGTATATTTACCTTCTGTGTGTCTCATTTAGGCCAGCCACGTCTCAAATGTCCGTTAATGTCTTTCTTTTACTCATGGCGTCTTTCAATGTCTTTTGTCTCAAAGTGTCCAATGTCTTTGTCTCAATGTCTTTTTTTCTTCTTCTTTAAACAATCACTTTCTTTCTTCTTCTTTCAATAATCACTTTCTTTCTTCTTCTTTCAATCACTTTCTTCTCCTTGCAATGTCTTTTTCTTTTCAATTATTTTCTTCTTCTTTCGACAACTTTTCTCATGTCTTTCTTTGTCTCATTTTCTGACGCACACCAGTGTGTGTCCTTCTTCTTCTTGTTAGGTTTACACAACGTTCTTCTCCGTGCACATAACTCCACTCGGTTTGTGCAAAAGTCTGGTTTTTCTCCATGAAATGGAGGCCGGAGAGGTCTTCTTCGAGAGTTCCTGTTAGCTGCTGCAGCCGATGCTGCTGTCTTTGGTGCCCCCTGTGGGTCTGGGGGAGACGCTGATGGTCCGTGCTGATGGCGCCCGATTGTGGTTTGTGGCAGAGACGATTTTTGGCCAAATGAAACAGACAGAAGTTTTCTCGGAAAAAACAGACAAACAAGAAGCACAAACAAGTGTGTTAATTACCATACGAAACCAATGATTAATTACAATTCAAAATAAACCTATGAAATAATTAATATTAACATTTTAAACATTAAATTCTGAAAACCAATTCTGCATTCAACTGCTCTCCTGAGCCCTATTTTTCCAAAAGCATAATGCTCTCTAAGATCATTCTAACTTTTATATCACCAAAATGTAGGGAAAAAACTTGTCCAGACGTTTGGAGATAAAAAATAAAAAATAAAATAATGCCTCTTTATAATCTAACTCAGAGTTCTGTGATCCTATGACTCCATGTCAGTAACATTATCGTGTGTATAAATGTAATTTTCTACAAAAAATTCTTTCTTCACGAGAGAGAGAAAGACAGAGAGAGAGAGAGAGAGAGAGAGAGAGAGAGAGAGAGAGGACAGAACGAGGGAGGGGAGGGGCCTCCCGAACAAAGGAAGCATGGAGTCTGAAATACTTTCCTCGTTTTTCTCGTGACAAGGTTTTAAATCATTGGTAAAAGTTTTTCTCACGTCAAACGACACTTTACATTTTATCCTTAAATACGTCAGTAATGGAAAACATTACTATTTGCTACATGATTAATAGTCCCAGCAGAATCTTTTTTTTTTTTTTTTTTTTTGATTCTCTGTAACTATTAAACATTACATCAGGATAAGAGAAAAACTTCCATAACTGATCATTTCTTCACATGAAACTCGTATACTACAGCCAAGAGGCTCTCTTTTTTTCTCATTAATCAGATCATTTTTATCAGAATCCACATTTTAATCCACTTGGCTTTTTTCCTGTTTAAATTAATTGTACCCTTTTGTTTTTCGCCCCCGGGGGATATAGAAGGTTTTATTATCCTATCACTTCTGACCCTAACTGTCCCTATTTTCTAATCCTATTTCTCTAAACACTTGTGCCTCTTTTGCACTTTAAAACGGTGTGCTTCTTTTGCACTCTAAACGGTGTGCCTCTTCTGCACTTATAAACTCTGTGGCTCTGATCCATCATCTATGTTCTGTTTTTTTTGGAGGGACCCATGCTTCCCCCAAGGCCAAAAACGTCTAAACCTGACTATTGTTCTATCGCGTCCGATAGAATCGCCCGTCACGGCGGTCGTCTGGCCACGCTGCAGTCCGCCGAGCCGAATTCTCTCTCTCTTCCATTTAAAACAATGTGCAGATTTTCAAAAGTAACGATCCGCTTACCTCTTTCGAAGAGAAGAGAGAAGAGAAGAGAGAATTCTCCCGGCCGACGGACCCAGTCTATATCTGAGCTCATCTTGCGTCTTCTTTCTGCATCAAATCACGTCTCGGGTCACCAAATGAAGCCAAATAATTCCCTTTGGCTGGCGTGTCCACAATTTGATACAGAAATCAGACAAAAAGATTCTCAAAGGTTAACATCTGCATTTAATTATCTTTACAATCAGATACAGAAATCAACAAAAGAGTGCTCCTAAAACTAATATGTCCCTCTCCTGGCCCTCGGCTGATCCTTCTGTTTCTCCCCAAGCCAGAGCATATATAAAGAACAGGAAGGAGGGGAGTGTCCTATCAGCCAGCTTCCGGTCTAGGGTCCAGCCTTTTCCTCCGTCTGCCAGACTCCTGATGGAGTGAGGTTGAAAAGTGCAGAAGTCAGCAGGCCAAGACTAGGGGGGTGAAATCCAAACAGGAGAATCTGTTGTCCAGTTGCTGGCACAAGAAGACACCTAAAATAAAATAAGAAGGACTGGCCTCCCACTTAGAGGTTAGCTAGGTCATAAAACACATGGTTTTAGAATGTCACGTATTTATAAATACAACAAGGGAGACCAGAGAGAGACCAGAGAGAGAGACCAGAGGGAGACCAGAGAGAGACCAGAGAGAGACCAGAGAGAGACCAGAGAGAGACCAGAGAGAGACCAGAGAGAGAGACCAGAGGAGAGACCAGAGAGAGACCAGAGGAGACTAGAGAGAGAGGCCAGAGAGAGGCCAGAGAGAGGCCAGAGAGAGACCAGAGAGAGACCAGAGAGAGACCAGAGAGAGGCCAGAGAGAGACCAGAGAGAGACCAGAGAGAGACCAGAGAGAGACCAGAGAGAGAGACCAGAGGGAGAGACCAGAGGGAGAGACCAGAGGGAGAGACCAGAGGGAGACCAGAGAGAGACCAGAGAGAGACCAGAGAGAGACCAGAGAGAGACCAGAGAGAGACCAGAGAGAGACCAGAGAGAGACCAGAGAGAGAGACCAGAGAGAGACCAGAGAGAGACCAGAGAGAGACCAGAGAGAGAGGCCAGAGAGAGGCCAGAGAGAGACCTGAGAGAGAGAGACCAGAGGGAGAGACCAGAGGGAGAGACCAGAGGGAGAGACCAGAGGGAGACCAGAGAGAGACCAGAGAGAGACCAGAGAGAGACCAGTTTCTTATTTAATGTTTTCCACGTACATAAACTGTAGATAATAATTCTTTCCTTCTGTTGTTGTTTAATTGAGCCTCAGACTTTATATTGTTGGTGTTTGTCAATAATCTGCTGCTCCAGTTCTAAAGTGGACCTCGGTGAGTCCTGTTCTAAAGTGGACCTTGGTGAGTCCAGTTCTAAAGTGGACCTCGGTGAGTCCAGTTCTAAAGTGGACCTCGGTGAGTCCAGTTCTAAAGTGGACCTCGGTGAGTCCAGTTCTAAAGTGGACCTTGGTGAGTCCAGTTCTAAAGTGGACCTCGGTGAGTCCTGTTCTAAAGTGGACCTCGGTGAGTCCAGTTCTAAAGTGGACCTCGGTGAGTCCAGTTCTAAAGTGGACCTCGGTGAGTCCAGTTCTAAAGTGGACCTCGGTGAGTCCAGTTCTAAAGTGGACCTCGGTGAGTCCAGTTCTAAAGTGGACCTCGGTGAGTCCAGTTCTAAAGTGGACCTCGGTGAGTCCTGTTCTAAAGTGGACCTCGGTGAGTCCAGTTCTAAAGTGGACCTCGGTGAGTCCTGTTCTAAAGTGGACTTCGGTGGGTCCAGTTCTAAAGTGGACCTCAGTGAGTCCTGTTCTAAAGTGGACCTCGGTGAGTCCTGTTCTAAAGTGGACCTCGGTGAGTCCTGTTCTAAAGTGGACCTCGGTGAGTCCAGTTCTAAAGTGGACCTCGGTGAGTCCAGTTCTAAAGTGGACCTCGGTGAGTCCTGTTCTAAAGTGGACCTCGGTGAGTCCTGTTCTAAAGTGGACCTCGGTGAGTCCTGTTCTAAAGTGGACCTCGGTGAGTCCTGTTCTAAAGTGGACCTCGGTGAGTCCTGTTCTAAAGTGGACCTCGGTGAGTCCAGTTCTAAAGTGGACCGCGGCGAGTCCTGTTCTAAAGTGGACCTCGGTGAGTCCTGTTCTAAAGTGGACGTCGGTGAGTCCAGTTCTAAAGTGGACCGCGGCGAGTCCTGTTCTAAAGTGGACCTCGGTGAGTCCTGTTCTAAAGTGGACCTCCGTGAGCCCAGTTCTAAAGTGGACCTCGGTGAGTCCTGTTCTAAAGTGGACCTTGGTGAGTCCAGTTCTAAAGTGGACCTCGGTGAGTCCAGTTCTAAAGTGGACCTCGGTGAGTCCAGTTCTAAAGTGGACCTCGGTGAGTCCTGTTCTAAAGTGGACCTCGGTGAGTCCAGTTCTAAAGTGGACCTCGGTGAGTCCTGTTCTAAAGTGGACTTCGGTGGGTCCAGTTCTAAAGTGGACCTCAGTGAGTCCTGTTCTAAAGTGGACCTCCGTGAGCCCAGTTCTAAAGTGGACCTCGGTGAGTCCTGTTCTAAAGTGGACCTTGGTGAGTCCAGTTCTAAAGTGGACCTCGGTGAGTCCAGTTCTAAAGTGGACCTCGGTGAGTCCAGTTCTAAAGTGGACCTCGGTGAGTCCTGTTCTAAAGTGGACCTCGGTGAGTCCAGTTCTAAAGTGGACCTCGGTGAGTCCTGTTCTAAAGTGGACTTCGGTGGGTCCAGTTCTAAAGTGGACCTCGGTGAGTCCAGTTCTAAAGTGGACCTCGGTGAGTCCAGTTCTAAAGTGGACCTCGGTGAGTCCTGTTCTAAAGTGGACCTCGGTGAGTCCAGTTCTAAAGTGGACCTCAGTGAGTCCAGTTCTAAAGTGGACCTCGGTGAGTCCTGTTCTAAAGTGGACCTCGGTGAGTCCTGTTCTAAAGTGGACCTCGGTGAGTCCTGTTCTAAAGTGGACCTCGGTGAGTCCTGTTCTAAATGGACCTCGGTGAGTCCTGTTCTAAAGTGGACCTCGGTGAGTCCAGTTCTAAAGTGGACCGCGGCGAGTCCTGTTCTAAAGTGGACCTCGGTGAGTCCTGTTCTAAAGTGGACGTCGGTGAGTCCAGTTCTAAAGTGGACCGCGGCGAGTCCTGTTCTAAAGTGGACCTCGGTGAGTCCTGTTCTAAAGTGGACGTCGGTGAGTCCAGTTCTAAAGTGGACCTCGGTGAGTCCTGTTCTAAAGTGGACCTCGGTGAGTCCTGTTCTAAAGTGGACTTCGGTGGGTCCAGTTCTAAAGTGGACCGCGGCGAGTCCTGTTCTAAAGTGGACCTCAGTGAGTCCTGTTCTAAAGTGGACCTCCGTGAGCCCAGTTCTAAAGTGGACCTCGGTGAGTCCTGTTCTAAAGTGGACCTTGGTGAGTCCAGTTCTAAAGTGGACCTCGGTGAGTCCAGTTCTAAAGTGGACCTCGGTGAGTCCAGTTCTAAAGTGGACCTCGGTGAGTCCTGTTCTAAAGTGGACCTCGGTGAGTCCAGTTCTAAAGTGGACCTCGGTGAGTCCTGTTCTAAAGTGGACTTCGGTGGGTCCAGTTCTAAAGTGGACCTCAGTGAGTCCTGTTCTAAAGTGGACCTCCGTGAGCCCAGTTCTAAAGTGGACCTCGGTGAGTCCTGTTCTAAAGTGGACCTTGGTGAGTCCAGTTCTAAAGTGGACCTCGGTGAGTCCAGTTCTAAAGTGGACCTCGGTGAGTCCAGTTCTAAAGTGGACCTCGGTGAGTCCTGTTCTAAAGTGGACCTCGGTGAGTCCAGTTCTAAAGTGGACCTCGGTGAGTCCTGTTCTAAAGTGGACTTCGGTGGGTCCAGTTCTAAAGTGGACCTCGGTGAGTCCAGTTCTAAAGTGGACCTCGGTGAGTCCTGTTCTAAAGTGGACTTCGGTGGGTCCAGTTCTAAAGTGGACCTCGGTGAGTCCAGTTCTAAAGTGGACCTCGGTGAGTCCTGTTCTAAAGTGGACCTCGGTGAGTCCAGTTCTAAAGTGGACCTCTGTGAGTCCAGTTCTAAAGTGGACCTCGGTGAGTCCTGTTCTAAAGTGGACCTCGGTGAGTCCTGTTCTAAAGTGGACCTCGGTGAGTCCTGTTCTAAAGTGGACCTCGGTGAGTCCTGTTCTAAAGTGGACCTCGGTGAGTCCTGTTCTAAAGTGGACGTCGGTGAGTCCAGTTCTAAAGTGGACCTCGGTGAGTCCAGTTCTAAAGTGGACCGCGGCGAGTCCTGTTCTAAAGTGGACCTCGGTGAGTCCTGTTCTAAAGTGGACGTCGGTGAGTCCAGTTCTAAAGTGGACCGCGGCGAGTCCTGTTCTAAAGTGGACCTCGGTGAGTCCTGTTCTAAAGTGGACGTCGGTGAGTCCAGTTCTAAAGTGGACCTCGGTGAGTCCAGTTCTAAAGTGGACCTCGGTGAGTCCAGTTCTAAAGTGGACCGCGGTGAGTCCAGTTCTAAAGTGGACCTCGGTGAGTCCTGTTCTAAAGTGGACCTCGGTGAGTCCAGTTCTAAAGTGGACCTCGGTGAGTCCAGTTCTAAAGTGGACCTCGGTGAGTCCAGTTCTAAAGTGGACCTCGGTGAGTCCAGTTCTAAAGTGGACCTCGGTGCGTCCTGTTCTAAAGTGGACCTCGGTGAGTCCTGTTCTAAAGTGAACCTCGGTGAGTCCTGTTCTAAAGTGGACCTCGGTGAGTCCTGTTCTAAAGTGGACCTCGGTGAGTCCTGTTCTAAAGTGGACCTCGGTGAGTCCTGTTCTAAAGTGAACCTCGGTGAGTCCTGTTCTAAAGTGAACCTCGGTGAGTCCTGTTCTAAAGTGGACCTCGGTGAGTCCTGTTCTAAAGTGAACCTCGGTGAGTCCTGTTCTAAAGTGGACCTCGGTGAGTCCAGTTCTAAAGTGGACCTCGGTGAGTCTTGTTCTAAAGTGGACCTCGGTGAGTCCTGTTCTAAAGTGGACCTCGGTGAGTCCAGTTCTAAAGTGGACCTCGGTGAGTCCTGTTCTAAAGTGGACCTCGGTGAGTCCAGTTCTAAAGTGGACCTCGGTGAGTCCAGTTCTAAAGTGGACCGCGGTGAGTCCAGTTCTAAAGTGGACCTCGGTGAGTCCAGTTCTAAAGTGGACCACGGTGAGTCCTGTTCTAAAGTGGACCTCGGTGAGTCCTGTTCTAAAGTGAACCTCGGTGAGTCCTGTTCTAAAGTGGACCTCGGTGAGTCCAGTTCTAAAGTGGACCTCGGTGAGTCCTGTTCTAAAGTGGACCTCGGTGAGTCCAGTTCTAAAGTGGACCTCGGTGAGTCCAGTTCTAAAGTGGACCTCGGTGAGTCCAGTTCTAAAGTGGACCGCGGTGAGTCCAGTTCTAAAGTGGACCTCGGTGAATCCATTTCTAAAGTGGACCTCGGTGAGTCCTGTTCTAAAGTGGACCTCGGTGAGTCCAGTTCTAAAGTGGACCTCGGTGAGTCCAGTTCTAAAGTGGACCGCGGTGAGTCCAGTTCTAAAGTGGACCTCGGTGAATCCATTTCTAAAGTGGACCTCGGTGAGTCCTGTTCTAAAGTGGACCTCGGTGAGTCCAGTTCTAAAGTGGACCTCGGTGCGTCCTGTTCTAAAGTGGACCTCGGTGAGTCCTGTTCTAAAGTGAACCTCGGTGAGTCCTGTTCTAAAGTGGACCTCGGTGAGTCCAGTTCTAAAGTGGACCTCGGTGCGTCCTGTTCTAAAGTGGACCTCGGTGAGTCCTGTTCTAAAGTGGACGTCGGTGAGTCCAGTTCTAAAGTGGACCTCGGTGAGTCCAGTTCTAAAGTGGACCGCGGCGAGTCCTGTTCTAAAGTGGACCTCGGTGAGTCCTGTTCTAAAGTGGACGTCGGTGAGTCCAGTTCTAAAGTGGACCTCGGTGAGTCCTGTTCTAAAGTGGACCTCGGTGAGTCCAGTTCTAAAGTGGACCTCGGTGAGTCCAGTTCTAAAGTGGACCGCGGTGAGTCCAGTTCTAAAGTGGACCTCGGTGAGTCCAGTTCTAAAGTGGACCTCGGTGAGTCCTGTTCTAAAGTGGACCTCGGTGAGTCCTGTTCTAAAGTGAACCTCGGTGAGTCCTGTTCTAAAGTGGACCTCGGTGAGTCCAGTTCTAAAGTGGACCTCGGTGAGTCCTGTTCTAAAGTGGACCTCGGTGAGTCCAGTTCTAAAGTGGACCTCGGTGAGTCCAGTTCTAAAGTGGACCGCGGTGAGTCCAGTTCTAAAGTGGACCTCGGTGAATCCATTTCTAAAGTGGACCTCGGTGAGTCCTGTTCTAAAGTGGACCTCGGTGAGTCCAGTTCTAAAGTGGACCTCGGTGAGTCCAGTTCTAAAGTGGACCGCGGTGAGTCCAGTTCTAAAGTGGACCTCGGTGAATCCATTTCTAAAGTGGACCTCGGTGAGTCCTGTTCTAAAGTGGACCTCGGTGAGTCCAGTTCTAAAGTGGACCTCGGTGCGTCCTGTTCTAAAGTGGACCTCGGTGAGTCCTGTTCTAAAGTGAACCTCGGTGAGTCCTGTTCTAAAGTGGACCTCGGTGAGTCCTGTTCTAAAGTGGACCTTGGTGAGTCTTGTTCTAAAGTGGACCTCGGTGAGTCCTGTTCTAAAGTGGACCTCGGTGAGTCCAGTTCTAAAGTGGACCTCGGTGAGTCCTGTTCTAAAGTGGACCTCGGTGAGTCCAGTTCTAAAGTGGACCTCGGTGAGTCCAGTTCTAAAGTGGACCGCGGTGAGTCCAGTTCTAAAGTGGACCTCGGTGAGTCCAGTTCTAAAGTGGACCACGGTGAGTCCTGTTCTAAAGTGGACCTCGGTGAGTCCTGTTCTAAAGTGAACCTCGGTGAGTCCTGTTCTAAAGTGGACCTCGGTGAGTCCAGTTCTAAAGTGGACCTCGGTGAGTCCTGTTCTAAAGTGGACCTCGGTGAGTCCAGTTCTAAAGTGGACCTCGGTGAGTCCAGTTCTAAAGTGGACCGCGGTGAGTCCAGTTCTAAAGTGGACCTCGGTGAATCCATTTCTAAAGTGGACCTCGGTGAGTCCTGTTCTAAAGTGGACCTCGGTGAGTCCAGTTCTAAAGTGGACCTCGGTGAGTCCAGTTCTAAAGTGGACCGCGGTGAGTCCAGTTCTAAAGTGGACCTCGGTGAATCCATTTCTAAAGTGGACCTCGGTGAGTCCTGTTCTAAAGTGGACCTCGGTGAGTCCAGTTCTAAAGTGGACCTCGGTGAGTCCTGTTCTAAAGTGGACCTCGGTGAGTCCTGTTCTAAAGTGGACCTCGGTGAGTCCAGTTCTAAAGTGGACCGCGGTGAGTCCAGTTCTAAAGTGGACCTCGGTGAATCCATTTCTAAAGTGGACCTCGGTGAGTCCTGTTCTAAAGTGGACCTCGGTGAGTCCAGTTCTAAAGTGGACCTCGGTGAGTCCTGTTCTAAAGTGGACCTCGGTGAGTCCTGTTCTAAAGTGGACCTCGGTGAGTCCAGCCTCTCACTGCAGTTCCTCCAAGTGTCTGTAGGGGGCAGCAGTTAGCCTGTTTCTCTCTGTACCTCTCACTGCTGTGGCCTGCAGTAGGTTTAAGGGTTTGTGCGATTTATGTATGTTTAAAAAGACAGTACAGACATTTAAAGAGGACTTATTTAAGGAGGACTTATTCAGGAAGGACTTATTTAAGGAGGACTTATTGACACCAGCCTGAAATAATAATACTATTTTTGTATTCAGAGGAATTTAAAATATAATTGCAAAACTGAACTTTTGGGAGTGATTGGCAATACAGTAAGTGATTTCTTGAGAAAATTTTCAGATTAAAGGAGCAGAAAGAAGGTCCCAGCAGGAGGCCAGTCCCTGTGCTCCTCAGAGTCCCAGCAGGAGGCCAGTCCCTGTGCTCCTCAGAGTCCCAGCAGGAGGCCAGTCCCTGTGCTCCTCAGAGTCCCAGCAGGAGGCCAGTCCCTGTGCTCCTCAGAGTCCCAGCCGGAGTCCAGTCTTATGTGGTCTTTGGGCAGAATGAGGCTGTATTTTCTTGTCTCTTTGTACACGGTGTGAGTAAATATACACACAGAAGATCAGATAAAGATTTCCTGTGTGTGTATGTGTGTGTGTGTCTGTGTGTGTGTGTTAGGGTTTCTGTTTGAGCCGATGTCTTTCTTTTTATTTATGTTTCATTTGGAGCATGTGACCTTTGTACGTAATCTCAAACAATTCAATTAGTCTATCACATTACACTCACCCTGTGTTACACACGCACACATACACAGACACACACACACACGTTTTTGTTACCTGGTGGGTCCCTTTGACAGGGCCGTTCAGAATGGGACCCATAGACATAATCTTTTTTTACTGGGACTACTTTAAGTAATACAAAACAGTCAATAGAAAACAAACAACTCTTTTAAAGGAATTTTATTTTAGATTTTTTTTTTGAATTGCAGTGATTCTATTTTTGACATAGAATTTAATGCCACTCCATGTCCGATGTCTAAGGTCATCTGGTGAGGCATTAATGCAGGCCAGGCCAGGCCAGGCCAGGCAGTGAGACTTCCCAGGGACCTTTCCAGTCTGTATGAAAGGCGTCATGGTCTTCTCCACAGCCTTCACCTCAGATGCAGACCATGGCTTTCTCTAACGTTCTAGGGAGAGAAATAAAAATATATTAGCAATATACACTCCCAGGGTTAGGACCAAGCAGCCTGGCTGTAATCGGCATCACCCACACCCCCCTCGCCTGGTTCACCTCCTATCTTTCTGGTCGCTCACAGTTCATTCATCTCAAATCCCACAAATCCCGCACTTTTCCTGTCTCTGCTGGTGTGCCCCAGGGCTCTGTCCTGGGGCCCCTCCTCTTCATCATCTATATTCTCCCACTCGGTCACATCCTCCGCCGTCACAACATTCACTTCCACTGCTACGCGGATGACACCCAGCTCTACCTCTCCGCTAAACCATCTTCCTCTCTCCCTCCATCCTCCCTCACCCTCTGTCTACAAGAAATTCATTCCTGGTTCTCTTCCAACTTTCTCAAACTCAATAGCTCAAAAACTGAAGTCCTTCTCATAGGCACCCCCTCCACTCTCTCCAAATCTACCAGCTTCTCAATCTCCATCCATAACACATCTGTCCTCCCCTCCCCTCAAGTCAAGAGCCTGGGTGTCATCCTCGACAGTTCACTCTCCTTCCAATCCCACATCAATAACATCACTCGGTCTGCCTACTTCCACCTGCGCAATATCTCTCGTCTCCGCCCCTCTCTCACCCCCCACACCACCGCCATCCTCGTCCACAGTCTCGTCACCTCAAGGATTGACTACTGCAACTCACTTCTCTTCGGCCTCCCCAACAAATCCCTCCAGAAACTGCAGCTCCTCCAAAACTCTGCAGCTCGTATCATCACCCGGACCCCCACAGCTCACCACATCACCCCCGTACTACAACAACTCCACTGGCTTCCTGTCAAACAGCGCATCAATTTCAAAATACTCCTCACCACCTTCAAAGCACTTCACAACCTGGCCCCTCCGTACTTATCTGACCTCCTCCACCCTCACATTCCTGCCCGCACACTCCGCTCCTCCTCCACCCTCACACTCTCCGTCCCCCCAGCCAGACTCATCACTGTGGGACACAGAGCCTTCAGCCACTCTGCCCCCCAGCTCTGGAACTCTCTCCCCCCTGACCTCCGTACCATTGACTCTCTTCCACTCTTCAAATCCCGACTCAAAACCCATCTGTTCAGACTGTCCTACCCCACCTAACACACACGCGCGCACACACACACACACACACACACACACACCTAACACATACGCACACACACACCCTCCTAACTCACACACACACACACACCATCCCATATTGCACCTGACTACTGTTTTATTCTGTTTATCCTGTTTTTAAATGTTTTTATTATGCCTGTACAGTGTCCTTGGGTGTTTTGAAAGGCGCTTTTAAATAAAATGTATTATTATTATTATTATTATTAATCCCCCACCTGGTACACTTACCAGAAGGGGCACTGCCACTACCATGGGGTGCATCTGGATGAATGGTTGAAGGTTCTCCGCTTGAAGTCTCTTTTGATGTGGGTGTCTGCGCCCGGGCGGGAAAAGAAGTATGGGTTATGGTCAGAGATGGAACAGGCCCTTCTGTTCTCCACCAGCACCTCCATCGAAGCAATCATTTCAGGAGTCAAAAGAACCGGCACTTTCCGACTTCTTTTCCCTTTCAATGCGTTGAAAATGCTGACACAGCTTTTTCTCAAGTTGGGACAGTCCCAGAGCAATGTCAGAATGGATCCCAGTCTTACTTCTTAAGGTAAAGGCTGTCAGTGGCATCTTTGAAACCTCACCTTCCCTTCTTCGATTGAAAATAATGACCTCACAAAGAGTCAAAACTGCCAGTTTAGACCAATGCTTAGACGTTGGCTCATGTAACGTGGTTGACTCTGCGTTGTGTTGTGAGTAGAGTAACCGCCAGGAGACAGGGTAGTATAACAAGTTCTTTATCTGTGCAACACACAAAATAGCTGGTCAGCCTTGGACCTGGGACACCGCAAACGAGCAGCAGCTAGTGGGGTATACATTTTAAAAGGTTAACATTCCTATATGTACTGAACTGCAATCTAATTTAACTAAACATTGACATTTTCAAGTTTACAAGCATCCCACACAGTCATACAATTGACAAATAAACATACAAATGCAACTTTAGCAGACACACCAATTTTGTGACCTTACCTCGGCTTGCTTATAGTGAAAATGGCGCCGAGCACATTTTTCCCCAAGACTTAAAGGATCTGTCACCCCAAGAGGGCGCTGTTCCACTATAATACAGTGTCTATAACAAGTGGAATACAATACTTGTACCTGTTACATACCCCTCTGCTGAATTCCACTTGTCCCATAACAAAAGATTACAAAATAGACCAGCATTGCACAAGGCACCAAAAAAAAACAGTGTTCAATACTTATATGTACAGGAAACTCAAAACCTTCAATTTCCCAACCGTACCAGTGAGGTAATTTCCAGCACCAACACAGTTACCAAACCCAGCAAAAAAAAACCATCCCAGGGGGATCAGTGCGAGACCGGAATGGCCAAAACCCATCTACACACATAGGGTAAATAGAATATGCCCACCTACATATTCCGTTAAATGTAACTGCAGGTACACCTCAAAGTATACAAAACAAAAATCACAATTGTGAAAACAAAACAAACTCAAAATTACATCACCAAAATGTTGCAAAATCCCCAAGAAAAAAAATTTGAAGTACTGAAGCCCACTAAAGTCCAAAAAAAAATACTTAAAGGGTTGAAACAGGCTTTTGGTGCATAATCTCAACAAAACGAGTCACTGGTCTCAGTAAACGTCCAGCCCTAGATCTACGGTCAGTTACTGCCTCAGCTGAAGCTGCAGCAGGAACATCAGTCATGTCAAAGTCAGGGGCCATAGCAGTCTCTAGGTCAGGGGCTCGTGGGAGGCTAGAGTCCATAGCATCACTCTCCGGCTCATCCAATGGAACAGCGTTCTCCAGAACACTATCCTCCACACTTGTCACACTGCCAGTATCTGATGGTAGCCCAGACACCCACGCTCTGGTTCGAAACTCAGCTGACTTTGTGGATTCCTCAGTGACTGCCGACCTACTGAGGTCCACTGAGCTCGACACGGGTGACAATACATCCCCGTCCGGGTCACCTGATTCGGTTTCCATCAAGGGCAAAAAATTCACTGGCATTATCAGATTGCGATGCACAACCTTAATCTGTCCACTTATCGGATTTTGAATCTTGAATGTGTGGCTCTCATCGTTTTTCTCCACCACCACATAGACTGTATTTTCCCAACGATCAGCGAGCTTTCTTTTCCCACGTTCACCTTTGTTGGCCAACAACACACGATCTTCCACCTCAACCGGAGCACCACGCACCTTTTTATTGTATAGGTCAGTGTGTCGTTGAAGTTGTTTTGTTGCTGTCGACTGGGCCACTGCCATAGCCTCTCTCATGCTTTGCCGCAACGACTCAACATAGCGGTCATAGTCCACAACCTCTGGATCATCGAGCACTGAGCCAAATATAACGTCCACTGGAAGTCGCGGGACTCTCCCAAACATGAGCAGGAATGGCGCATAGCCAGTTGTCTCGTGTATAGTGCAGTTGTATGCAAACGTCAGGGATTTTAGAGCTTGAGGCCAACGATGTTTTGCTCTTGGTGGAAGCGCCCGTATCATATTTCCAAGAGTACGGTTCATCCTTTCACACGAGCCGTTACCCATGGGATGATAGGGAGTAGTGTGTGATTTCTGCACACCTGCAACCTGTAACAACTCCGCTATCAGGGCACTCTCAAAATTAGCTCCCTGGTCCGAATGCAACCGTTTCGGAAATCCATAGACACTGAAGTAGTTATTCCACAGCTGATGGGCGACTGCTTTGGCTGACTGGTTAGGACACAAGAAGGCATGCGCCATTTTAGTGAAGTGGTCAGTCGCAACCAGCACATCCAGGGACCTATTAGCAGAATCTTCAGCTGTCCAGAAATCAATACTGACAACTTCAAGGGGTTCGTAGGTTCTAATACTTTCTAAAGGCGCTCTGGCTTCAGGCTCTGGGGTTTTGCTCACTACACAGCGTCTGCAGTGTCTAACATAGTCCATAACATCACGAGAGAGCCCTAGCCAGTGAAACCTCTGCCTTGTCAGGTATAAAGTCCTCTGCTGCCCCTGATGGCCAGCCTCATCATGCACACCTCTCAGCACTTTGTGACATAATGAACGGGGTACAACAAACAGGTACTTTCTTCTTTTACTGGCCAAATCCTTTGTCACACGGTAGAGAACCCCCTCTCTCAAAGTGAGTTTCTCCCAGTCTCGCAATAATCTGTTTGCACCAGTAGTTTCCTTTGCACGCTCCCTCCTTGATGGTCTCCTTCCTCTTTCCACATAGAAAATTACTCTGCTCAGATCCGCATCATTCCTCTGTTTGTCCTTCAATTTGTTGAGGGAGAGCACCTCAGAGTCAATTTGCGGGGGCAACAGGACAGATTGCGTGAACTGGGGCAGGAGCAACGCGAGTGGGCACGAGTCAGAACCACGGCTTTTCAATTCATCAAGAACAGCCGCAACCTCCTGAGATGAGATTGAGCTAGAAGAGCTAACTACTGCCGCGCATTGTACAACAACACGTTGGCCACACACGGATTGCGTGTCAGGTGGGTTTGCAGACCACCGAAACGCGTCCTGAACACCATTAGCACCGACGGCAGCAGCCTCAGCGAGCAACTCAACATAAGGAACCCTTGTTAACCGGTGAGATGCACTGGGCTGCACGAACGGCTCCCTGCTTAAGGCGTCGGCGACAACATTTCGGGGACCTGGGATGTATTTTATATCAAACTGAAAAGGGGCAAGTTTAGCAATCCATCGCTGCTCACATGCATCCAGACGAGCTTTGGACAAAATGTATGTCAATGGATTATTGTCCGTCCACACCGTAAATCTATTTCCTCTCAACCAGTGGTGGAATTTATCGCACACTGCCCACTTTAATGCAAAAAATTCCAATCTGTGCGCAGGATACTTTGACTGAGCATAAGTGAGTGATTTACTTGCGAAGGCAATTGGTCTCGCTATTGTGCCCCCAGGCGGAACTTGTGACAAGACAGCACCTAGCCCATCAGTAGAGGCGTCAACTGAGAGCAAAAAGGAGTCATCAAAGTTCGGATGGGCCAGAACAACTTTGTCCAATAAAGCCTGTTTCAGTTTGTCAAAAGCCAGCTTACATTCGTCAGTCCAATCGTCAGTTCTTAACTTTTTACGAGTCTGGTGGCGTTTTCTTCCTGCTCCACGCGGACTTTTGGACCCCGATGTGAGTTGGAATAGCGGCCTGGCTATGGCTGAACAATTTTCGATAAACTGCTGGTAGTATACAACCATACCAAGAAAGGAGCGGACTTTACGCTGTGAGGGGACTGAAGTGCCATCTTCCATAAGGTCAGACTCTTTTAAGGAGGTTATTGCAGCAACTTTATCATGGTCGGACTGGATACCATCGGCACCGATAACATGACCCAGGAACTTAACTGAGCGCCGCAGGAAGTTGCATTTCTTTGGTGCGAGTTTAAGGTTGTGGGACTGCAGTCTATCAAACACCATTCGCAAACGTTCAAGAGCCAGATTCTCTTTCGAGGCGAACACCAAAACATCATCCAGGTAGCATAAAAGACTCATAAAGTTCTATCGCCAAAAATGCTTAACATCATCCTCATGAACGTTGCTGGACTATTACAAAGGCCCTGCGGCATCCTGTTCTATTCATACAATCCGAATGGTGATGAAAAAGCAGTGTACTTCTTGTCCTCCTCATGTACTTCCACATTGTAGTATCCTGAGGTCAAGTCCATAGTTGAGAAGAAGGCATTACCCCCTAGAGCTGCTAGGGCATCAGCAGGGTGAGGGAGCGGATGCGCATCCTTTACAGTGCGTGCATTGAGCCAGCGAAAATCATTGCATATTCTCAAGTCTCCTGATTTCTTTGAGACTAACACAAGGGGCGACGCAAACTCACTGCTGGACTTTCTTATAATCTCCCGCTCCTCCATTTCATCCAATGCCTGTCTCAGTTTTTCATACTGCGTGGGCGGTATGCGCCTGCATGGGAGCCGAAAAGGTTTCTCATCTAGGACCCTGATACGGTGCTGGTAACCAGTAGCCTTGCCGTAGTCTAGCTTGTCTCTGGAGAAAATCGACTCGTACTCTACTATGAGCTCAGCAAGCTTAGTTTTGTAATCGGTGGAAACTTGACACGACTCAACATCAATATCCGACAAACCCAGCTCACCTAACCTAGACTGGAGAGAACTAGAGTCAGGGCACGGCTTGAATCGAGGACAGTCCGGTAAAGTGGAGGTATCTGAAACAAGACTGAGTACAGTTGATCTATCACTGGTAATTTGTATATTGTGCCGAACAGACTGAGAACCAAATTTCTCGACTGCCTCACACAAGAAGACGTCAGCCATCTTAGTCTTACGTTTGAGAGTGACAGACTTGTGAGATGGGTTTATCACTTTGAGAGGCAGCCAGCCATCAGCTCTCAAAAGTGAAACAGCTCTTCCAACTATGACTGTTCTTGGTCTGGACTTAGCGACTGTCGGCTCGACAATAACCTCACTACCAGCCAACTGTTCGTCCACGTACTGCAGCCTTGCCCACACTAGGTGCTCTGTCATAGGCTCCAGAGTAACAGCTTTCCTGAGTTTGACAGTACCGATCGCATTTGAGACATCCTCAGTTTCCACTCCCGCCATTAAACTCAACAGTTTCTGTTCTGCATCACTCTTGCAGCTGAGCACTGAAGGGCACTGACCCTGGAAATCCCTTTTAAGTCTGCTGATCACATACCGCAATAGGTTACTGCCAACAATTAGATCTTCGCTCTGGCCATTGACAACTAGAGTGGGGACAACCACGCTGCAGCCATAGATCTCCAGGTTGAGATCGCACACTCCCACAGGCAGAGTTCTAGACCCTCCGCATCCAATCAACACAACGTCCGTATCCTGAAGGGTGGGGTTTATAACACCCTCCTGCAGTAACTGTGGGACAAGACTAGCACTTAGAGTACATTCCATCGAACCGCTGTCCAGTAAAGCAGAGACTTTTACTCTTCCGCTCAGTGTCACTATCTCATAGAACAGATCATCATGCTGCTGAAGCCTCTGAACGTTTTGAACTATAGGCGTGCGTCCCATTTCTCTCACTCTGCAAACACTTCGATAGATAAACTCCTCTTCATCACTCTCATTAACAATAGGGGAATCATTTTTAGGCCCAACACTTGCCCCTCCCACATGCAGGCCAGCTAGTTTCCCTGCTGCTGCGCCGTAGACTTAACAACCCCAGGCTTACTGACAGCATTTGGGCAATCAGCGCGCGTGTGGTCAGGTGCAAAACAGGTGAAGCACAGACGGTCGGACCTGCAGTGGTACTGAGTAGTGTGGCCATCATCTCCACACACAGCACAGGGCGCCAGGGGTTTGACCTTGGAGGGCAGGCTGCGTGTATTGAACTTACTGACATATTTAGGCTGCTGCGACTGCTGAGAAAGTACACGTTCGAGGAGGGCAAGCACTCTGTCCAGACGGTCAGGTGAACACTCTGCCTGCTGCGCAGAAGGCGGAACCACAACAGCAGCTTGTGGCGGCTTTGCATTAGCAGAACTCTGGACAGGAGCAGCAACTTCCTGGCGCTGCAAACACGAGATGGTGTTTATTTTCTGCATAGGTGCCTGTCTATGGTCTCGACAGTGCTCAACCAACTTATCATGAATATCCGCTGCAGTCCATTCTTGCAGTGGCCTGCACTTGAAAATGAGTGACAGTTCATTATCGGGACAGTTATGAATGAACATGGCTGCTAAATCACGTGACAGATAGTTAAATGTCTTATTTTGCCTTCTCAAAGAGTCCTCAGTCACCTCCAGGGCTCTGTTCAGCCTCAACCAGTAGTCAATGGGTTGTTCACCAGAGTGGGGTTTTGTCGCATAAAAGTCAGCTAATGGTAAACAAGAGGTTAGTGTGTCACTGAAGTGCTGTTTTAACATCTCAAAAACAGGCTCCGGGCCGTCAGTCAGGGTCAATATTCGCTTACTACGTATGCCCACTCTGACTACATCCCGCGCCCTCCCCGTGAGCTTTGACAGCACCTCATCAGCTTGATCGGACACAGGAATTCCCCTTTTCTTCATATATGACAGCATCATAACCTCCCACTCCTGAACAGAACACATGTCACTACCATCCCCTTTAAAACTCACAGGTTCTTTAACGTCCTGGCGCACAATGACATTCAATAGGGACGGGTCAATTACAGATGCCCCCACTGCACCAGATGCAGTACATAGGCGTGACTCAATGCAAGATGCAATACTCTCCCCAATTGACAGCCCAATATGTGAAGCCATATCGGTCAGTGTTTTCTCATTCACACCTTCATTTCCTTTTGCATCAGAGTAAACATTACAGTTCTGATTCACAAAAGAATTATCACCAGGTTGTGTCAAACTATAGCCCGGCTCTGGTGTGAATGCTTCTGGGGAAAACAAAAGTGCGCCCCTGCCCAAACCAGATAAAGACACAGGAGTGAAGAGTGGAAGCCCCCTCCCTCTTCCAATAGGTGTACTCTCCATAACTCAACAGAAAACTGCACCAACAAAAAAACGTGAGGCAAAATTTAAATAGTCCTGAAAACAGCCTCAAACTACAGTCAGATTTTTGAGTGTAGAAAAAAAATAACTCATCAAACAAAACACGTGTCAAAAACGCCTCAAAACGCGTTTATATGTAAAACAAAGTCATTCAGCAGTAATGTAAACACCATTCAACCTCATCAATGGCAAAACTCGAGGGCATCCAACACAGGTACAGATCACTACCACCTCCTCCAAGTCGCAACGGGTCCGAGTGGAGCTCCGCGGGCGCGCGCACCAGTCCACGCGCGGCCCCGATGTGTGCAGGAGAGAGGCGCACGAGCGGCCCCGAGTTGAAGCGTGGGAGGTGGGCAGACAGCGACGGTAAGACCCGCTGAATCCTGGATGTAGCTCCCGCGCGGCCACAGCACTGAGGCGTCCACAGGCTAATCCCCTGCTCGATGTCGCCACAGAAAGCGGTCACGGCACCAGTGTAACGTGGTTGACTCTGCGTTGTGTTGTGAGTAGAGTAACCGCCAGGAGACAGGGTAGTATAACAAGTTCTTTATCTGTGCAACACACAAAATAGCTGGTCAGCCTTGGACCTGGGACACCGCAAACGAGCAGCAGCTCGGCTTGCTTATAGTGAAAATGGCCAAATATAATATACAATAAAATAAATGTACCTGTGCAACACACAAAATAGCTGGTCAGCCTTGGACCTGGGACACCGCAAACGAGCAGCAGCTAGTGGGGTATACATTTTAAAAGGTTAACATTCCTATATGTACTGAACTGCAATCTAATTTAACTAAACATTGACATTTTCAAGTTTACAAGCATCCCACACAGTCATACAATTGACAAATAAACATACAAATGCAACTTTAGCAGACACACCAATTTTGTGACCTTACCTCGGCTTGCTTATAGTGAAAATGGCGCCGAGCACATTTTTCCCCAAGACTTAAAGGATCTGTCACCCCAAGAGGGCGCTGTTCCACTATAATACAGTGTCTATAACAAGTGGAATACAATACTTTTACCTGTTACACTCACTTATTAGGGTTTGCACATATTCAGGTCGACATACCTCAATATGTGCATGCATGGCTCTAACGTCCTCAGTCAGAGGGAGCAGGTCCGGAGTGTTCCACTTGGCTTGCCGGAGGGTCTGTAGGGCAGCAGAAGAAACACAGACGTCCCACCTCTTCTCAAAAAGCAGCCGGCTTCGTTGGAGGTTTTTAATAAATAGTTCATCAACACAATGCTCCATTTTTGAGTCACATTCAAGAATATCTGCTTTCTGAGGCTATGGCCGAGTTTGAGGGCCAAGGATGGAGTCTTGTATTGATTTGTTTCCTCATCATATCCAGCCACAGACCTGACTGCATCAATCACATGGTTAAAGTTGGAAGGAATAAAGAAATCCTTAATTGTTTTCAGTTTCCCTGCGGTTTTTGCTTCGTTAATTAACCTACCGACTTCTCTCATTTTCTGCCTAATGTAATCATGCTTAGTCTTATCATGCCCGTGTTTTAAGTACAGGTGCTCTCCGAGTCTCAGAATCCCCTTTTCTGCTTTGACAACACCCGTGACCTCATCCTGATGCATTGCCGAAATTAAAGACCACAGCTTTTTGCTGATGCCCTCCGGTACAGGCTGGGCTAGGGAGCAGAGGGACTGGACCCTACTTCTACCTGGTTTAGCCTGGTTTAGCCTGGGCATCTTTCTGTGAAAGCCGGCACCTGGCCACATGCCTCCACAGCGACTTTCGCTTAAGCAATGCCCCACAGTCTATACAGTGCAAAAACTCACTGGATTTAACTGGGGAATTTGGCTGTTTAGCTGGGACTAAAGTTCCAATGCCGGCCTTTAAAACCTCAAAATTGTGCTCACGGTTTCCACTATTCCTGATCAAATCAAACTGAAGTTTACTTGCTTTAGATTTCACAGGTAGAGCCAATGCTCTGGCTACGTCACTTTCATTTCCATGTTTTCTAGTCAAATGACGGGACATTTTGTGGCAGGACATTGAACAGTAGAGGCAGAAGTGTCTCTTGCTGTAAACTCGCCCCCCATTTTTCTTCTTTTGCAGCTGCATGATAACAATCTTATTTGCCTTTGGTTCGTCACTTTCCAAGTCTTGAAGAAAAGTGTTTTTGATTTTTCTTTTTCCATACTTTTTTACAGGTTTCTTCTTGACAGTTAAATCGTCAGAATCTGAGTCGACTTCATCAATTAGGGACTCTTGACTAAGCTGCACAAACAACAAATAATTTGTAATCATTCTATATAACAATTTGAAGTCATGACTTGTAGTCAGCACTTACCAGTGGTTTGTAAGCGTGCGCTTCAGTGTGCTGCTCTGTGATTGGCTGCAGCCTAATGAACCACACACTTGCACCTTTTCTAGCCTGACACCTGATTTCCTCTGTTGTGCTGCTCCATGATTGGCTCCAGCCTCTGTTGTGCTGCTCCATGATTGGCTCCAGCCTCTGTTGTGCTGCTCTATGATTGGCTCCAGCCTGCTGGACTGAAATTGCCCCAGTGTGCCCCTCCTTGATATCCCGCAACCCACCACCAGGGTTCCGACACATAACACACTTTTTTCAGGAAAGTAAACCTCCAGGGGTCCTTTCCATATTTTTACAGAGACTGCATAAGGACCGTTAGAAAAGCATTACCCATTGATTATTAAGCTTGGACCAGTGGGGTCCGGTGTTCGGGCCCCACCACGTAAAACCAGTCCCCATGACGTGAGTGGAATCTCAGGTTATGGAACCCACCAGGAGTTGAAAACAAGTGCACACCTTCCAGTCTGAATTTACACTTATCTCCCTCTGTGTGTGCAAACGATGGTGGAGCTAACGCCGCTAACAATGGTGGAGCTAACGCCGCTAACAAGGGTGGAGCTAACAGCGCTAACAATGGTGGAGCTAACAGCGCTAACAATGGTGGAGCTAACAGCGCTAACGATGGAGGAGACAGGAGCAAGCTGAGCCTTCAGACCTGCTGCTACTGCGTCCTCTGAGATCTGTCTGAGGTCAAAGTCTGTGTAGAGATCACCTCATTAAGACGGAGTGAACTGTTCTGGTCCCACAGCGGGAAATGTCAGTGTTGCATCAGCAGGTACAGGACAGAAGAACTGAGGAGCACATAGAAAAATTAACTATAACCATAGACTGTATATATTAACGGACTTTGTCACTCCTATCTCCGCCGTTCTAACTAATGGGCCAAAAATTGGGCTCTCATGGAGTGATTTAAAATGGCCGTGGGGGCGGGAATATATGAAAAAACGCATCTGTGCATGTGTCAGCTGCACGAGCTCCATTCTTTTAAACACGTGACTTCAACAGTTCACAGCAGCTAAACTAGACTGGTCCAGAACACTCAGCATTGACACACATGTGGAACAGAGCTTTGGGCCAAGAGACACTTTTGGACCATCCTGTAAAGTTTTCCAGAGGTCTGCTAATGCTATATGTTAGCATTGGCTAATTCTTCTTCCGGGTCCACCCCCACAGGCCCGGGGTGGTATTGCAGCATGTCAGCGCACGTCATTTTGGCCACTTTGAGCCGGGACCTGCCCCCACTGACTATCCCTCTATACTAACATAAAAGACAAGAAAATCCCTAACGTTAGCATAATAAAGAAGCTAGTATAAAATCTCTAGCTTTAGCATAATAAAGAAGCTAGTATAAAAGCTCTGCCCTCAGTCTGTCTCAGTCTCTCTCGTGCTTCTTGCTTCCGTCCTTCGCTGATGGAGGTCGTCCTTTTTTAGAAGCAGAGTGGTACTAACCCAGATTTACGAGACGTTTGGAAGAATCTGTGAAGGTGGAGTCTCTGAGTGTGTGAGAGACAAAGAGATCGGAACGAGCTGAGGCGGTCTCTGAGGCGGTCTCTGAGGCGGTCTTTGAGGCGGTCTTTGAGAGGTCTTGGCTGGACTCAGGATGGGGAACATGTCTGGCCGCGCTGGGCCAAAGAAACCAAAGTTGATGCAGGTTTCACCGCAGCTTCTGCCGGACTCTGATGTGAGTGATGTTTGCTGCTTTGTCTTTTCTCGTCCCGTTAGAACTCGTGTGTTACTGTAATGTATAGTTGTGTATCTGTGAGTGAAGAGGGAACAGCGTCTGCAGTCAGAGCTGTAGCAGGAGGGTGTTAGGGTGATTGAATTGAATTAATGACCGAAAGAACAAGATCGTGGATACAAGTGGTTCACATGAGTTTCCTCCAGAGTGCCTCCCCCCTTGAGTCAGATTGAAGAGCTCGGAGTAGAGCCGCTGCTCATCCATGTGGAGAGGAACCAGTGGAGGTGGTTCATCTTTCTGGGACGCCTCCTGGTCTCCTCTATTGGGAGGTGCTCTGGAGGAGACCAGGACACAGAGACTCGGACCTGGGACCGCCTCAGGATCCCCCAGACTGCCCCAGACTCCCCCAGAGGAGCTGCAGCAGGCGTCTGGGGAGATGGAGGTCTGTGGCTGATGGATCTCTGCTCTGACCTGCTCCAGTCTCTCCTGTTTATTCACTGTCCCTCAGACACACACCGTTCCCTGGTCTGAGGCAGGGTTATGTGTGTAGCACAGGTACACTGTTCCCTGGTCTGAGGCAGGGTTATGTGTGTAGCACAGGTACACTGTTCCCTGGTCTGAGGCAGGGTTATGTGTGTAGCACAGGTACACTGTTCCCTGGTCTGAGGCAGGGTTATGTGTGTAGCACAGGTACACTGTTCCCTGGTCTGAGGCAGGGTTATGTGTGTAGCACAGGTACACTGTTCCCTGGTCTGAGGCAGGGTTATGTGTGTAGCACAGGTACACTGTTCCCTGGTCTGAGGCAGGGTTATGTGTGTAGCACAGGTACACTGTTCCCTGGTCTGAGGCAGGGTTATGTGTGTAGCACAGGTACACTGTTCCCTGGTCTGAGGCAGGGTTATGTGTGTAGCACAGGTACACTGTTCCCTGGTCTGAGGCAGGGTTATGTGTGTAGCACAGGTACACTGTTCCCTGGTCTGAGGCAGGGTTATGTGTGTAGCACAGGTACACTGTTCCCTGGTCTGAGGCAGGGTTATGTGTGTAGCACAGGTACACTGTTCCCTGGTCTGAGGCAGGGTTATGTGTGTAGCACAGGTACACTGTTCCCTGGTCTGAGGCAGGGTTATGTGTGTAGCACAGGTACACTGTTCCCTGGTTCTGAGGCAGGGTTATGTGTGTAGCACAGGTACACTATTCCCTGGTCTGAGGCAGGGTTATGTGTGTAGCACAGGTACACTATTCCCTGGTCTGAGGCAGGGTTATGTGTGTAGCACAGGTACACTATTCCCTGGTCTGAGGCAGGGTTATGTGTGTAGCACAGGTACACTATTCCCTGGTCTGAGGCAGGGTTATGTGTGTAGCACAGGTACACTGTTCCCTGGTCTGAGGCAGGGTTATGTGTGTAGCACAGGTACACTGTTCCCTGGTCTGAGGCAGGGTTATGTGTGTAGCACAGGTACACTATTCCCTGGTCTGAGGCAGGGTTATGTGTGTAGCACAGGTACACTGTTCCCTGGTCTGAGGCAGGGTTATGTGTGTAGCACAGGTGCAGACGAGGCCGGTCAGTGACCTGGTGTTCGCTCTTAGTCGTGACTGACTTTCACTTTCAGTCTGTTCCAAAACAAACGGATTATTGTGGTCTGTAACGACTTCTAATGTGGAATTAAAATCTGAGAGGAGCCTTGTCACTCATCTCTTCATTATTCTAAAGGTGGGTCTGAAGATGGATCTCTGAGTCCTGGACTGGACTCGATCTCTGAGTCCTGGACCGGACTCTAGCCACGAACCTGTTTTGTTTTTGGCAGAACCTTTATTAAAGTGGTTCTCACCCCCGCTCCTCGGAGCTTACGTCACTCACATTTCACTAAAGGGGGCGTGAAAGAGACTGGGCCGTTTATATAGCTCTGGGCGGGGGGCTGCTGACGTCAGGTCTTGCTGCTGACGTCGGGTCTTGCTTCTGACGTCAGGTCTTGCTTCTGACGTCAGGTCTTGCTTCAGACGTCGGGTCTTGCTTCAGACGTCGGGTCTTGCTTCAGACGTCGGGTCTTGCTTCAGACGTCGGGTCTTGCTTCAGACGTCGGGTCTTGCTTCAGACGTCGGGTCTTGCTTCAGACGTCAGGTCTTGCTTCAGACGTCAGGTCTTGCTTCAGACGTCAGGTCTTGCTTCTGACGTCGGGTCTTGCTTCTGACGTCAGGTCTTGCTTCTGACGTCAGGTCTTGCTTCAGACGTCGGGTCTTGCTTCAGACGTCGGGTCTTGCTTCAGACGTCGGGTCTTGCTTCAGACGTCGGGTCTTGCTTCAGACGTCGGGTCTTGCTTCAGACGTCAGGTCTTGCTTCAGACGTCAGGTCTTGCTTCAGACGTCAGGTCTTGCTTCTGACGTCGGGTCTTGCTTCAGACGTCGGGTCTTGCTTCAGACGTCAGGTCTTGCTTCTGACGTCAGGTCTTGCTTCAGACGTCAGGTCTTGCTTCAGACGTCAGGTCTTGCTTCAGACGTCAGGTCTTGCTTCAGACGTCGGGTCTTGCTTCAGACGTCGGGTCTTGCTTCAGACGTCAGGTCTTGCTTCAGACGTCAGGTCTTGCTTCAGACATCAGTTCTTGCTTCAGACGTCAGGTCTTGCTTCAGACGTCGGGTCTTGCTTCAGACGTCGGGTCTTGCTTCAGACGTCAGGTCTTGCTTCAGACGTCAGGTCTTGCTTCAGACGTCAGGTCTTGCTTCTGACGTCGGGTCTTGCTTCAGACGTCGGGTCTTGCTTCAGACGTCGGGTCTTGCTTCAGACGTCGGGTCTTGCTTCAGACGTCGGGTCTTGCTTCAGACGTCGCGTCTTGCTTCAGACGTCAGGTCTTGCTTCTGACGTCGGGTCTTGCTTCTGACGTCAGGTCTTGCTTCAGACGTCGGGTCTTGCTTCAGACGTCAGGTCTTGCTGCCGCGCCAGTGTTGGCGCCAGATTCAAAATTCAAATGTAGTAATACAGGTCGCCAGCAGATGGCGCCTCACAGACGGTTTTAGGCAGAAAGTTTAACTTTCAACTAATTTGCACCAAAGTGACAAAATTATGACCAGGATATGTAGACAACACTATTGGACACTCATTTATACCGTTTATCAGCAAAAAAAAAAGTGGATTTGAGGGTGAGTTGTCCTTTAAGTGTTTCAAATATTATTCTAGTGGCGCCACCTGCAGGTGAAGGCCAGAACCTGTCAGACCGCTGACCAGAGAGATACCAGAGAGAGGGAGACCAGAGAGAGACTAGAGAGAGACCAGAGAGAGTGACCAGAGAGAGTGACCAGAGAGAGTGACCAGAGAGAGTGACCAGAGAGAGACTAGAGAGAGACCAGAGAGAGTGACCAGAGAGAGTGACCAGAGAGAGACCAGAGAGAGACTAGAGAGAGACCAGAGAGAGACCAGAGAGAGTGACCAGAGAGGGACCAGAGAGAGACCAGAGAGAGACTAGAGAGAGACCAGAGAGAGACCAGAGAGAGTGACCAGAGAGAGAGAGAGACCAGAGAGAGACCAGAGAGAGACCAGAGAGAGACCAGAGAAAGACGAGAGAGACCAGAGAGTAGTTTTAATGATAGTTCATGTATGTGCAGCTCTTCTGAAACTGTGCTATCCAGATAAAGTGCTGAGCTGTGACCCTGCGATGCTCTGGTCCTGGAGCAGGAAACACAAACAGGATCTAAATAGAATCAACCAAAACGAAGAAACAGACACAGACCGTCTTTAGAAAAGTTAGAGTCATGTGCTGCTCACCCTCTACAGCAGCAGACTCACTACGGTCATGGTCTTTCTCTGCTCTCTCTCTGGTCCCTCTGGTCTCTGGTCTCTGGTTTCTCTCTGGTCTCTCTGGTCTCTCACTGGTCTCTCTCTGGTCTCTCTCTGGTCTCTCTCTGGTCTCTCTCTGGTCTCTCTGGTCTCTCTCTGGTCTCTCTCTGGTCTCTCTCTGGTCTCTGGTCTCTCTCTGGTCTCTCTCTGGTCTCTCACTGGTCTCTCTCTGG